GCTCATTATTTTCTATGAATTGAACTATAGGAAATTGCTTTTGTTTAATGGCATGATAGTTTGGATCTAATTCATTCCCAAGAATTAATCTGCTCTATTTATCCGTCAAACGTACGTTAAGCAACACAAACTATATATTTGATTCGGGTTCTACAAGTGACGGGAGTGTTCAATATCGTCACTCAACAGAAATGTAAGTGTTTCCAAAATCCGAGGACAAAACCGGTTTCCTTGGTTATCTAACAACTAGTTATTCCAAATGTTAATATTTACACAACCATGATCAAAGACATAAATGAGATTGGAGAATATAATATTAGACAGAATTACAATTAGTTCACATTTCCAGTTGCTGTATTAGTAATTCTGCAGACATTGTGTATTGCATTTTACTTTATGAGAATTCCAGTCACATGTATAGATTAGTTACAATAGTTTTTTTGTATTCTAAGAGAAGTCTTACTTTGTTATTTACTACATGGTATCATGGTCGTGGTCGACAGCCGATGTAAAACGTAGTTACTGGCAAAATAAGGCCACATTGATTTAATTTTATGGATGACATCTTCTGGAGACCCCAAAACTAATGTGAGAGGGCGAAAAAAAAAATCCTGCCAAAAAAAAAATGCTGCTAAAACCACAGGACTACGGAGCTGCTATTACGAATTGGACCACAGAACACAAGTGTATCAAAAAACAACAAGAAGTCTTTATTTGTAGGAGGCACATGTTGATGTACACATCTCCTACTGTATATGTCACATGTGTAACCATTTCAGACAAGCTCTAGTACATGTAGTCATGATGAAGTACCTTCAGTCAGAAACATTGCATTCAAGGTATAGCATGAACACCAGTTTCAGTACAAGTAAAGGCGGAATGTACATATCACTACTTTATGACAAAAATGGCACGTTTTGGGGTAGTCCAAAACGAGTTTTACGACATGCCGGCGCTTTGCGACAATACGAGTCGGCAAGTTCCGGACAGAAAACCGATCTGTGGAGACTCGTCATCGGATATTTTTATTTATTTTTTTGAGAACAGGCGAAAACTATGTCATCCATAAAATTAAGTCGGTGGGGCCTAAACTTCATATTCATTTGACCGGCGCTAGTCGTAATAAGAACTATTCAGTTTGGTAGTATGAAACAAATAATATGATTCGGGAATAATTTAGTGTAACAAGCCTCTTTTATTTAAATTCTGTTGAGAATCTGAAAAAGATAAATTCAAATGAACAACTAAACGTCTCGTGATTGCTATATTCATTTTAATATTATTTAAAACTTCAGCGGAGATAAGTATATGCTACGGTTAATGTACATCCTTCCAGCACGCCCTTCCAGGTAGCGCCTTCTAGCGACGAAAATTTCCGTTTCTGAGCCTAATCGACTGTTTCTTTTGAGAAACACAACATATCATAGGCAATATTAATGATTTGGGAAAAAGTATAACAACTGATTTGTCATGGGTGACCAATTCGACAAGTCGTGTTTCAGCTTTCGAAAAGACAATGTATTTGTGCGAGACACTGAAAGTCCGCCCTCTATTGGTTAAAATGTACGTTGAATAATGATGGCGCACTTCAGAAAATAACCGAAATAGTGCTGAAACCTAATATAATTTTAATTTTATAGTCATCCGAAGCCGACTATATTGTATCGAAATCGGATTTTTTTATGGTATAGAGTCATGTTCAAAGTAACTTGATTCTGGTTTTCGTTTTGGCTTCAGTTTCGCTAAATACGGTTTTTAGCTTGGCGTTTACAAACCACTCTGACTTCACTTTAAACTTTGAGCATTTAATTGATTGTTGGTATAATACAGAGTATTCATTAAATACTGACACGAATAAATACAATATAAACGTGCATATCATGTATAATACATCTTTTATTATCTTGAATACTCTTTCTGAAATTAATTTCACAGAAAGACAACACCCCTTTTACAAATATAACAAAAAAAAGATCTGTATTACCAACAATCATTTGCGGTGTGAACTTCCGGGTATGTGTTTACTTTGCATAAAGCTTACCCCGGGACATGACCACACATATGCATGTAAACTTTAGAATATACAAATTAAATTCAGGTAAAACTTTGTAAATATCGTTCAAATATACACACCGCAGAATGTTTGTTTTCCCAAACTCCCAATATTAACAAGTAAAAAAATGAAATAAAATAATAATAATAGGCATAGCGAGATAACAGAACATAACAAACTTTTGGAGAGAAGTTCAGTGCAACTATCGTGGTTTACCTTGACACGGACTAGGTCTTATTGTTCAATTATGCAAGAAATTATTGAATTAATATGTCACGAGACACCCGATACTCACACTACAAATATTATAATTTCAGCTCACCACGGTCACGGTCACATGATCTACCCTTTCCTATCACGTGGTTATAAAGTTTCAAAATCACTCATACTATATTGTTAAAAAATAATACCTGCCAGGACAGAAAATACAATAAGTATAGTTGACAAATGAAGAGCATTGAATTTACAGAAAGTTAAGCCAAGGCGATTCAGACATCATACTCCAGAGCACCTGCTTACATCATTGAAGTCACGAACCTCCGGCGAAGCTGAACACAGAAAGAGTTTTCTTGTAATACGGATCCTTCCCTCTCTGTGAAATAAATCTTATATAAGTGCATAATTGGAAGACGTACTTATTCCGTCTGTTGTCCGAACCTCTTCCATGAACTGCCAAGCCCGACCCTCTACCCTGAACTTCTGAGCCAAGATCTCTACCATGAACTTCCAAGCCAGACCCTTTACCCTGAACTGCCAAGCCCGACCCTCTATCACGAACTGCCAAGCCGGACCCTCTGTCCTGAACTTCAAATCCCGACCCTCTAACATGAACCACCAGGCCCGACCCTCTAACATGAACCACCAAGCCCGACCCTCTGTCATAAACTGCCAAGCCTGACCCTTTACCGTGAACTACCAAGCCGGGCCCTCTACCGTGAACTGCCAAGCCCGACCCTCTACCCTGAACTTCTGAGCCAAGATCTCTACCATGAACTTCCAAGCCAGACCCTTTACCCTGAACTACCTAGCCCGACCCTCTATCATGAACTGCCAAGCCGGACCCTCTGTCCTAAACTTCAAATTCTGACCCTCTAACATGAACCACCAAGCCCGACCCTCTGTCATAAACTGCCAAGCCTTACCCTTTACCGTGAACTACCAAAGCCGGGCCCTCTACCGTGAACTGCCAAGCCCCTCTACCAAGAACCACCAATCTCGACCTAAACCGTGAACTGCCAAGCCCCTCTACCCAGAACCACCAATCTCGACCTAAACCGTGAACTGCCAAGCCCCTCTACCCAGAACCACCAATCTCGACCTAAACC